GTGTAATGAAATCATCAACGTGCTCTTTATTTTACATGCTTTGATTTTTCTTACCTTTCCAAAGACAAAACAGTAGAGTGTGACTCCCATCGCCCACACGTCTAATGCCTGTTAAACAGACACAGTATTTATCAGGGCTGTGTCATTACTGGAAAGCTCTCCGTAGGCGTTTGGACGTAATTTCTTTATATTTTCTCACAATGAAACTAAGTCTGATATAATGAGTAACCTCAAAAACATAATGTGATTCAGTAATTGCCATTGCGTCTTTCCAGTTGGCCAACAGAAGACATTTTGTCTCACCTTCCCCCTGTAGCTCAGCTCGTGTTCAGTCACCATCTCAGGGGCCATGAAGGCCGGCGTCCCCGCTGTGCATGACAGGTTGGCGTCCGTCCCCTCGAACTCGTTGCTCACACCAAAGTCTGCGATCTTGACGCAACCGTCGTCCCCCAGCAGCAGGTTGGAGGGTTTGATGTCCCGGTGGATGATCTTGTTGTAGTGCACTGTGATAGACAGTATGTAAAGCAGGCAAATAAGTGAACGTGTTGATTATCTGCTGAGGAGAAATATCAGCTCTGCCATCATTTTAGGACAGGTAAAGAAAACTGTGGGGAATCTTACTTAATGTAAGTGTAGTCATATATCATTATGCCAGCCATAATGAAATTATCTTTCTTTGAACAATTAGTCTTGAATCCCAAGACATAGAGAATACAGGTAGGCCTAGAAAGTGTCATCGTTTTTAAATACAACACAATGTTTCTTAAAGCAAAGATTACAAGTACCCTTGATCTTTTAACTCTCTGTTTACTTAATAATGAAATCCTGTTAACTTACAGTACTCAATTCCCAGGACGATGTCTCTGAAATAAAAGTGAGCCTGCTCCTCTGTGAAAGGGTGGTCTGTGGGCACCTCCATCACCTGGCTGACCAACATGAGAGGTGGAGAAGGAAGAAGTCAATGTATATTATACATCATAATTGTTCAACTTAAATTGTCGACTGTGACAGAAAAAGAAATGCACAAACATACCCTTTTGTCATCAAATCGAAGGCTTGAATACAAATGATCAGAATTGAATGAGTCCCCCACTTTATGTTGACACCTGTACTAAAGCCAGCTACTGTAAAACAGATGAATGTGCCCTACCCATGTGAAGTCCATCTTCATCAGGATCATCAAGCACCTGCAAGACACAGACAATTCTGAAGTCTCTCTGCACTGGTTTACACAGATATATGAAGTCTAGTTAGTCATTTCTACTAAAGGCATAATTCATTGTAGTACTTTATGTGTTTTAAATGCGCTACATCTTGATACACCAATATGTCTTTAATCCTTATTAGTTAACATAGTCTGGTGACATCAAGTCATTCCCAGTATAGCGTCACCTCCACTAGCTTAACAACATTATGATGGTCCAGTTTTTTCAGGATGGCGATCTCCTTGTAGACTTTCTCCAGAGGAAACGCAGGCTTTGGTCCTTTAGAAGGTATTCGGCCTAAAATTACACACAAAAACCATCAACACCCACTCATCAGGAACAAACTAAACGCATTTCATTGTTATTTTTAGACACTCACGGAAAAATCCGCACTGCTTCATCAGCCTCTTCTTTGAAACAACTTTCATTGCCTGAATAAAGAACACAAAGCAAGTGACGTTATTGTAAAACGGACGTAAACACAGGGACCATGAGTGCTCAATTCATAAGCTTCAACTTACATAGTACTTCTCAGAATCTTCATCATAAGCCAATTTGACCACTCCATATGAACCCTATATGGTGTGAAAATAAACAAAGGAAAACAGCTTTGTAAATAATTGTCATCACTTTTGTTTGCTCATTGGATTAATATGATAATCACCTTCCCAATCTCTTTCTTCAACTTATACTGATTCAGCTGGACACAATCCTACAGGAAATAAAAAAATTAAACGATCAATAAATGATCCAACATTTTAAATTCTCTTAAAAAATCTAACTTTGTAGTTAATTTCTGTAGTTCAAGTCTCCTCACTTCAGCATCTGTGATGGACACACGTTTGGTCTCGATGGTGGGCTGTTTGGGCATGCGGCTCCCTCTCTCCTGCAGGGACATCTTCCTTTCTGAGACCCTGGTGGTCCTCGGGGGCCCAGGCCTGCAGCCATTGGGCAGGGTTATGCGCTGGCCGGCCATGTTCATGTCTGCCACCATGTCAGCCAACTCACCATTGTGCTCCGAGTCGTGCTCTGCCCTGCCCTCAATTTCAGCATTCATGGTGGCTATGGCCCTCGTTTCCTCACAGATGAACCACCCAGAGCCGGCGTGGTGAAATCACCAAAGAGAGCATCTCTGCACTGAAAGGGGTGGAAACAAAAATGGAGGCACATGAGGCGCCAGGTTTTGGCAAGGAAGAAAAACCCTTTGTATAAAAAGAAGATATTTCCCGTTCTGCTGCATCAATGTTGATCCCTTTTTGAGTGCTTAAGAACATTCATTGGTTATCTACCATCAAACAACATAAATAACACAGTACATTTTGTGTTGGCTGCCTAGGCTCAGATATGATTAAAAAAACTGTTCAGATTTGACTACCTAACTATGTCACATTAAGGCTCACTATACCACTTTCCATTTGATCTATCTACCAACAGCTTCAAACAACCTTTGCCAAGGTGCACCACCTTTCCCAAGCAAGTCAATCACAGCAGATTGGGCCTTTTGGAGTCTTAAAGAGACAGGCATTTTGAACATTAAAGCATGTAAACTAGTCCAAAAAGAAACCCATAATACAAGTATATAAGTTATCAACATCTCTCCCATTTAAAGCACACAACAATCTCATAATGTGTCACAGATTTTGGAACTGCCAAAGTACTGCTAAATGAATTACATCAATTTCTTTACAACGAAACAGGTGCTTTTAATGACTGTAATTAGGACTCAAATGCACACACACATTACTGTTAACAGATGTAATCAGGCAACATAAGTGGAGACACGTGTATTTAGGGGCTTAAATCTTTTGTCAAAAAGGAGAAATACCAAACTAACCTCAGAAATTGTCAGCAAACTACATGTATGCTCTTGTCTTACAGTATACCAACAACACGTGGTAGAAACCTATATAATGGATGTATTATAAAGCCTGTGTTTTTGTAGCTTTGCCAAATAACAATATTTTCTGTATAATGTAGGTTTGGCTATATTGTATTACCATGATTAATATTCATCATAATAAAATGTGTTATTCAGTGTATTCCTTCAGTGTTTGAGCCTCTTAGCTCCAAAGGGCAGCTCGAAGCTTTAAAGCTTGGTTGTATTCTTGTCATGAATTGTGTATAAAAGATGAAAACCTCAGATAAGAATTAAGGTAACATTCATAATATAAAGACAGAAAATAAGAAATATCACACTGTGACACCAGTGTAGAAGGAGATAAGAGTCCACTCACACAGCACAGCTAACGGTGGCCTAAATTACAGCATGGAGTACTGAAAAGCTTCTTATGTAACAAGGAAGCTTTAACAGGGAAGTAACATGTATGATACTCGCACAATAAAAAAAAACTGTTGTAACATCCAAACACATATTCTTTGAAGACATATATGCCTTTGCAACCTGTTAAGCTACAAAACATTTAATTAAATATGAAAATACAAGAGCTACTCTAGTCAATGACAGCCTTAAACTCACCTGAATCTAATCTAATAATACTAATAATGACTCAAAAACATTACTGTATCATAAATATATTGTGAATTATTTGTTTTACTCACACAGTGGAGGTGTCCTGTGTTGATGTCTGTTCAGGTTAATCTGCATATTTCTCTCAGGAGACTCCTCTGTGTCTCAGAGCAGGACTTTCACTGAAGAGCAGCATCGACGTCTTTAAGGATTAACTGAGTCTACATATAGCTGAGCCACAGTTATTCTAATGCACGCACGCGCGCACACACACACACACACACACACACACACACACACACACACACACACACACACACACACACACACACACACACACACACACACACACACACACACATTTTGCTTTTCATTTAAATGACAAAACTGTATTTAACATATTATTCTGATATACCATGAATATAAGAGAGACAAAGTTTGACTTTTTCACAATATTAATATTTAAGGGGACGATATACTAAAAAACATATTACAATATATTACAAACATTTTTTGCAAAACATTTAGCAAAATAGCATGCTGTCTTATTATTGTTAATATTATATATTTGTACTTAATTATATAATTAAAATAAATAATATGTAATTAACATCATTATACAATAAAGTATTAACATGACCAATATTGTTTATACTATTAATATTCCTAATAATATTGTTAATATTATTAACCTGCAGGTTACAGAAAGTTAGTGCAAATTGATCTAAGTGTCACTTATAACTATTATTTGAGCTTTTTTTCCCGAGCCCGATTGTCTAGGGCCCAGCTACAACCGTAGACTGTAAGGCGAGACAAACCATGAACACAAATAGGCCTACAATCCTAAACTGAAAACGGAATGTCTTTCTTTCTTTATAACCTTGAATTGGGGCTAAAATATACCTAGAAATACTTACCATTTGTAGTGTGGAATCCGGATATGAAGCCCAGAAGAAAAGTCCAAACCTAACTCTGTAACGGAGAAATAATACAAATCAAGTCTAATTAGTTGTTACAGCATCACTACGGACAATGACTCTGCGGTAATGACATTGTTTGCTTATAATTGAGCAAAAGCAGAAAGTAAGTGTGATTGAGGATGTCAACAAAACTTCAGACTATACCACCGTATGTTTTTTGTTTTTTTCCCACGACGTAATTTCTGAAACTATTACGGGAAACCTAAAACATGTCATCTGTTTGTCTATGGTTCTAACCGTCTAGTTTCCCGATAGCCCTTAAACGCAGCATTAGCAGCTCCCATAGCGCCCCGGCAGGATGCAAGTGGAACAAACAGGGAGCAAAGAGCTGAAGAAGCAGAGAGCAAGCATCCCGCGTGCATCATGTCTCACTTTGCCGCTCTGAGGACCCGAGAGCTGCGCGAGCTGCTGGAGGATGAAGACAGAATAAGACACATAATCAGGGGCAGCGATAAGGTGGGACATTCACGAAACGTAAAATAAAACTTTCCATTTAGTGTTTTTTGAACTATCTTTGGTCATCCCAGGTTCAGGGGCTGCAGAGTGCTGCAGAGAAGATGCTGCTTTCCAATCAGAAAACAGCCAAAGTCGCTCTTTCTCAAAAACCTAAATTTAGAGATGCTAAGTTGCTACTTGCAATGAAGTACAAAGAACTGGAAAACATTCAAACCACCATCCAGGCCAAACAAGAACAACTTGGTGAGACTCTGTATTTGTGTTGTTTTTAGTTTAGTTTTTTAAAGTGTGTGCCTAATTTGTTTTCATTTCCTACATTTGCAGCAGAAAAATCCAGTTTGCATTGTGCTCAGTGGAGTCTCCTAAAAAAAGTAAACCATGCAGAGGAGGAGTGTGAGGTAAGCATTGACCTCAGTCTCTGGTATATTTTCTTTCCTAGTGTACACATACGACAAATATTCTATTAACATGTCAATAATGTGTGTCAATACACATAAATAATACCATTATAGGTCTCTTCTGCAAATACACTTTACAAAAAGACAAGTATTTTGAGAAAATAAGAGTTCATAACTCCTACTCTGTACAAACACTAAACGTTTGAACTGCTGCTGTGTTTGTGTGTCACCCTAGTTTTTTTTAGTCTTTAGAGGCCAATATTTATTTTGTAGAAGCAAAGGAGATGTCTTAGCTGGGTAACATGATACCCATTGTTTGTTTGGAAATAATGAGATAATTCTCTTAACAGATGCTGTGTCAGAGGTTTGAAGAGGGGAATACGTTGCTGGCAGATTTCCTGAATTCCTTTCTGGGCTCACGAAAAGCCCAACACATCAGGATGGTTCTGGTGAAGAAGCTGCAGGAAGTTATTGAATTGGAATCAACACAATGGCTCGGTGAGATGCTCCCTGACACTCCCAACACCTGCCTCTGCAGTCTCACCACAGCTGTGGTCTTACCAGCCTGCTGCCACCCTCCATTCCTGCTCCCCTTTGGCCTCCATGTGAACACGGCTCACCGTCTACAACATTTACCGCTTTGTCATGATTACAATGTGTCTCTACGTCCTCGAGTGCACGGACGAGGCCCCAGATGGCCCACAAGACCTGTCCGTCTTCCGCCTCTGAAGGTTCAGAAGAGGAGGCATCAACAGGCACCACAATGAAGTCTAATCCTGACTCGGATACAGGTTTTCACTTCATTCAAGATAGTGGGTAAAGTTGACTTTGCATCAAGCCTTGGATTTAAAAAGATATTCCATATTTCCCCAAATAGGTTGTGTCTTCACTAAACGGTGGAGTAACTAAGTGAATTCAGTAAAGTGCTTTACTTAAGTAGGATTTTAAAGGGGCTTTACTTGACTTTTCCAAATTTCTTCTGCCTCACATTTATTTTGTGACTTTGGTTACTTTAAAGATTATTAGTCAGATTAATGATACACAATATGGTTATATTTATAATATATATGAATGTACCCTTAAAGGTAATGATACATTATATTGATCTCTCAATAACATTGACAAGCTACCTGGTAGTATACAAAGAGCTTATCCTTTAGCAGCTTAATAATAATTGTATACATTTGTTTATTCAAATGTATATGCACAAATTGTATTTGTAAGGGAGTATTATACACTGTTACTAAACTATACTAATTTTACTTAAGATCAATTAATCTATGGCTGTCTTTAAGTATTATATTTAGGTGATTGAAAGTTTTTCATGTGAAGATATAAATAAACGCTGATGGACAGAGAAGTCTGGCATGTTTAAGGTATTTTTACATCTTAAACTCACACTTAAGACTGTCATTACAACAGAAATCAAAAGGATGCAATTAGTTTACCGAGTAACTTGAAATTGTAAGTAGTTAGAAGTTGCAAAAATGTTTTGTGCATATTCTGTGATTACATTTGATCACATATTTATCATTTCTAGGTTGCTTTGAAGATCATGAATTATTCCATCCCCCCACAGAGACACTAAATGAAACGATATTTGAATACAATAAAAGCAGCTTAAATCCGTTGTATTACTGTAACACTGTGGCACCTTTATCTGTAGGAGGTAGTGAAGAGATCATAATCATCATCTTAAATCAACCAAACCGGTTCAGCAGGATGACAACCGCTTTTTTTAACAGCTGATTTCACAAAAAGAAAATGTGTTCAACATAACAAAGGTTAGAGCATATTTGTGTTTCCTCGAGTAGGAAAAATTTTGCTCACTGTTGTTCACTGAACTTGAACTGCTCACCTGACACTCGATATCTCTGATGATCTGTGTGCAGAGACTCCTGCCAAGGTCAGCAAAGGAGCGTTAGCAACACTTTATTCATCCTAACATTAACCTGCAGTCTTTTCATAAAGGCCAAAGGTCATATTATAGAACTCATCCTTTGTTGCATATCTTAGTATGTTTGATCCCTATCAACGTGCTTTAGTGCTGTGAGGGTTAGCCATGGGCCAGCTGAGCTTGCCATACCAATTCAACCATGGAGAAACCTTGCTGGCACTACAGGAGGTGATTAGCAAGGTGGAGCGTGTTCAGAGGCTTTTGTTACTCCACAGACTTTAGTTACATCTTTGTCAGCAGCCTCTTTTGTCCAGCAAGACTCAAATTGGGCAATTTTCTTGTCTGTCAGCTGATTGTTTTGTTCTATTGGGCTCTTTCACCTGTGTGTCTCTGCATCGCTCCATAGAAAACCTGGTTATTTCTGCACGGAAAAAACAAACAGTGTGAGGATTTCATTTGATAATTATTCAAATGCAAAAGCTGCCCTCGTTGAAGCATACACAAAATGTATATTACATTGAATTAGTGTACACAAGTAACACATGGCACCATACATTTAAAGCATATACTGAATGTAAACACAGCTGATATAAAGAGCCTGAGTCTTGTCTTTAAAGTGTCAGCTTTGACTCGTATCTCTAGGTTAGGAGGTGGGTTATCTCTGCATTGTCCCCCAGAATGCTCACTTGTATAGTAGATTATACAGAAGAGTATCCATAACAGCATCCGGTAGTAGAGCAGGTATGGAGTGATACTTAGAGGGGGTTGTCATGTAATAAATGTCTGTAGGTAAATGCACAATCAAAATGTTTTTCCCATTCATACTGTATTTAACTTGAGGATTCTTCCACTGATTCAACATTATACCTTTCCAATATCATACTCTCTTGTTATTATATAAACTATATATAAGTATATAGATATTTGAGGTCTTTTTTGGAGTGGTCCTTTCGTTCCAAAACCTAGAAGTGACATTGGCGGAATACACCAAACAACTGTCTCATTTTTATTAGAGCTGAAACGATAAGTTGAATATCAACCAATCAATTGACATAAAATAAATTATCAAATGTTCCCCAGGTCCAGCTTCTCAATTCTGATGTTTTGCGTCCTTTTCTTGTCTTTCATAAGAATCAGACTAAATGTCTTTCTGTTTTGGAGTATAGGTCTGACAAAACAAGACAAATAATGAGATTGTGACAAATATCTTTTACAATATTTTGACATTTGAAAGTTTCAATGTATGCATGAATGTAATATCTATTTTACAATTTGAAATCCGTTGTGACGTTTTTGACAAGTGTGTTAGAGCGTAGATCCCAAATACATTTCCCTGCAGGAGAATAACGTTTTTCTTCTTTTAAAAGCTTAATTGATTAATTGCAAAAATACATCTATTTAAAAAAAAAAAACAGCTTGAAACCCTAATTCCTAAAAAAAAAAATTAAAATCTCTTCACATGAAAAATATAATATAATTTACAAAACCCAACGAGACACTTTAAAAAAGTTCTGAATAGAAAGCTGTAACGATGACCCCGCATCAACACCACACCGGACTTAGGAAATAGGCCTTATTCGCCATGTTTAGTAACATTGCTAGAAAATATCTATTTGAATAACAAGTCAGTAAAAATCTAAAAGGATCTTCCCTGCAGTTATTTTTTAATAAGACACTTTTGCCGTTTAATTCCTGAGAGAAAGCAGGTCTGACCAGTAGCAGAAAACATATTTTCTCTGTTTAGCAGGAGCTGCTTGATAGAAACGCTCCTGGCTTTGCCACACAACACTAGTCCAATGCCAACCAGCTGTCAGACGGGTCAGAGTGAAGGCTACATGGACTGTTGGAACTTCATGACACCTCTCTTAATCTGCTCGAAGCTCACAAACATCACAATGTTCCAGGAACCCAGACGAAGAAACGAGGGCACAAATCTAAAAAGGAATCAGAGGAATAAAAACAAAAATGGCGGTTTACATTGACTTTTTGCTCTGTCAAACATTTGTACTACTGAATCTGACATGCACACTGTTACATACCCCTTATAGAAAGCTGTGGGTCCCTCTTTCATCAGCATGGTTAAAGCACAGTTCATCGCCCCGCTGTACTTCCCAGGCGTTGAATTCATGAAGCGTGTTTTCACCACATCCACGGGAGACGCTACAATGGTGGTACAGAAACCTGCTGCGAAGCCGGCTACAAAGTGACACGGCATGTTGTCTGTTGGAAACAAAGTGTTCTTTAGGGACCACAGTAAGTGATATAAAGTGTCGGAAATGCTGAGGATTCATGTTAAGTGTCAGGACTGACCTGTCATCAGCTTGTTCTTCAGGATGATCTCTTTGATGATGTCATACGTCACCAGCTCGGAGCAGTTAACGATGGCATTACGAGTTATGTTTGGCAAGGCACCTGAAAAGACAGTTCAAGATTTTAGATTAAGAGATATCTTTTGATTTTAATTTACACATTCTCCTTGTCATTTCCTGGCTTCAATATTACCCACAATGCAACTCCAACTGCTGATTACTGTGTGTTGTGCAAGTCGAAAAGCTCTTTACTTTCAAACTCCACACCACTAGGTTTATTTGTCTCAAATTAAATCGCTTGAGGCTATTTATCAAGTTTTAACAGGATTATAGCACTTTTCACATTTGCTGTATTTCTTTTCAAGGTCTGCAAACAAATGACTAGGGTCCCCCTTTAAAGGTCCCATGTCATGGCCATTTCTACTGATCATAATTCCATTGTTGAGGTCTACTAAAATAGATTTATATTGTGCAATTTTCCAAACTGACATTTGTTTCTCTCACAGCATCTCTGTAAAGTATGTGTATTCACTCTCTGTCCTAAACGGCTTGTTGGAGCTCCTGCTCCAGANTCATGGCCATTTCTACTGATCATAATTCCATTGTTGAGGTCTACTAAAATAGATTTATATTGTGCAATTTTCCAAACTGACATTTGTTTCTCTCACAGCATCTCTGTAAAGTATGTGTATTCACCGGTATTCACTCTCTGTCCTAAACGGCTTGTTGGAGCTCCGCCCT